TAATTTTTTTTTAAATTTTGTCTTAGCATCTGACCAATTTGCTCCATGATCTACCAACCTCCATTATGTTTGGAACAGAAATAGACAGCTTCTGTTTCACTAGCCTGTTACACAGTTTATTTATACGTACGTATGTTCTTCTTACTTGAAGAAGTCTCTTTTATTCATCTGATATGATGTGATACTGGGTATCTGCCATCGTACCTGCAGGTGAAATCTGAGCACCTTGTCATTTTAACTAAAATAAAACAGTGATTATTTTTGGTAACATTCAACAATGACAGCTCCCAGGAGTCTCTTAATACCCTAGTCCCGTTTTCTACCTCATCACTCTGTACGTCACTCCGTGGTTCTGTCACATAGCATTTCTTATGCAAACCTTAGGGGAAAAGTCTAAACCTTATTTTTTACCCATTATCCAAAAGCAGGTCTGCAAATGCATTTTCGGGATCTCACAGATGTCTGTTTTTCTGCCCGGAGAGATAAAAACCAATGTTTAAATCCAACATTTCCACTGACTGTGGCGATCTACTCTTCTCCTTCGCTAGAACATATGTCTATAGCACAGGGCGTAGCAGAGACTAGACATTTTGTCTTTCTGGGAAGACGGTATCTGTGGGGGTCATGAAAACCTGCTGTACAGCAAGTAAAAAGAAGATTGGACTTTTCCCAGAAGTTTGCGTATAGGGAATGTTCCTTGTTGTAACAGAATCACAGAGTGCCGTATGGAGTGCTGAGATCACACATGGGGCTGTCAAATCCCGAAACCCAGTATAAATTTCAGCTTTTTAGAAAGACCCAAAAATACCAAAGGTGGCAAAAGTACTCACATTATTTATCCAAGTAGAAGTACTGATTCAGCTTCTTCACTCAAGTAAAACTGGAAAAGTACAGGTTCTGAAATGTATTCAGAATATAAAAGTAAAACTCTACTGGCTGTTTCTGTGCAAACCTAACTTAAACTTCAAATAAGGTTGTGGGTGATATGCACCAGTCTTAATGTTGGGAACATGTGCAATGATGCAAAAAAAAAGCATTAAAACCAAAGTCAGTGGTCTGTTTTGAAAATATAATGAGTAGAAAGTACTGAAAAAAATGTCAGAAAAAAAAAAGTAAAGTACAGATACCTGAAAAAGCTATAACAGTACACTAACAAAGTATTTGTACTTAATGACTTCTCACCTTTGAAAAAAGTACAAAGGCAAGTGACCAGATGCTTACCCAGAAGTGGGGCAAGACTTTGGCTCTCAATGAAACACAAGCTTATTTGCATGGCAACTAGAGTCAGCTTGCATAGCTGCTAATGTACCTGTTGTGACATGTTATACTAGCAGTTGTCATCCCCATTCATTAACATGCAGAGTGTGAATTTGACTTAATTAACTGTAATAATGAGAGACAACCATGGTTAGCGGTACCAGATTACTGTAAATTCAGGGGTGGTTGTATTAGCGATCAATAGTGAATTAATGGGCATCTGAATGGCATGTATTATGTGTTTCCCTGCTGTGTTTTAGCCCTTGCACATGTTGTGTGTTGGCTCCATCTGGGCTGTGGATCGTGCTGCATAAACACAGATGTCAAATTACAGCACACTGTCCATCATCCATTGTACTGAAATTACACCATTTGTCGAAAGCAGAAGCACGTGGCCTTGTGAATACATGAAAATGCTGTTTAGGTCTTGGTTTATTTGCTGCAGGCTATCGCAATTTGAACAAGCATTTGAAATAATGTTTCTTGTCCAACATGGGATTGCTAAATGGGCATAATATGTGCAAGATGGCAGCAAGCAGCATCCCATTTTCTGTCAGACTTTGGAGTGGCTCTCTGGGCTGCTGCTGTAGGCTCTGATGTCTCACATCAAGCTGCAGAACAGTGAGAAATAAGACACGAGTGATGATGATGTGCCCTGACTTCTTTTTATGATGCACCAGGGACGTCCTGGGAATTGAGGCTCCCATGGGTTTGTTCTTAAGACACATTTCATTCAAAACACTCAGAGAGTCTAGTCATGCTCCATTCTCTGCACTTGGAAGTCGCTGCTCTGTTTCCATGAATATCAAGGTGCAACTTAAAGCAACAGGATATGATGATGGTGTGTGAAATAACTCCTATCAAGACAAAATCCCCACACACCGATAATTATCTGCTTGAAAGGAGATCAATGCTCGAGATGCCTTTTTTATTAGTAGTGTATAAAATTAACTGCATGACTGGTGCGAACGCGCGATCTCCACTGGATACACGTACAAGAAAATGCAAGGTGTGCACACATACAGTGTACGCAAAGAATTTAGCAAAGTAAAAGTTATTACCTCCTCTTTGCAGCTGTTTTCTGTGGCATCAAGCAATCGTCAAGATTACCCAGTCTAATCACATCCTGTAACTGAGAACTGTCTCCACTGCCCCTGCAGGATTCTGGGATTTCAAAGTCAAGGTAGCGCAGACTAAACTGGATTCTAATTAAAGTTGACATCAGGTGCCTCATGCTCCTTTCCCCCTCCTCCTCAGGCTTTCATCTAAATGATTCATGCAGAGAACACCAGGCCTTTCATGCCGTTAGGTCCTCACAAAGGAATAACAACTTGATCATACAAAGCAAACGTAGACAGATTTACAATGACACTGGCACAGTGTCTGTTGCACTGGCTTATATCAAGTTATGTCAGAGCGATGCTGAGGAACTCGGCTGACATTTTGTGTTTTTGCAGGGACGTTTTTACAGATATTCATTCTGACAAATATGAGAGAGTAAATTGAATCAGAGGGCTAAAAATGGTTTTCTAATAGAATCATGCTACATCATGGAGACAAAATACAACAAAATGTTAAGTTTCCAGGTGTGTTCATTAGAATAGGGTATGACCCGCTGTGAACCTGACGTGATTGTTTGGAAATGAACGTGACAAGTGTGTGTCGGCCATATGTTGTGGGCTGGCATTGTGGGAGAGGATCCGTTGAACCAACTCAGTACCGCTCTGGGTGAGAGCATCACCTAAATGCCAACCGGAAACATACAATTAAATCCCTCTCTGAAATTTCAGACGATACAGGTAGGGCTAAGTAATTGCTGAATAGAGAGATGAACACTTGAAGGCTTTTTTTTTTCTCCTTATAAGTGGGAAGAGGATTTATCTCTGTGTGAAGAAGCCAGCTTTGAATTAAAGATGAGCTCCCCCTGCCTTTTGTCAAGCTATTGTGAACAACACGGCATATAGTACACAATAACTACAGGTATGCAAAAATAGGTTTGGTATAATAGCTTTGTGGAGAAGCTGAACAGACTTACTATGACATGGAGGTGCCTCGAGGCTGAGTAAGAGGGCTGCATGCACTTATTATTGGTATATTGGAATTCCAGTCGAAAATCCTGTCCCTGAAAAACCTAAAAATGAGTTGAATGAATACTAACAACTTTAACCAGGGTGGTGGTATGCTTTATAATGTCTTAGCCTTGAAAATAAAAAAGGCTTGTGCCTTTAGAAGGGACTGAAAGGACCTCTGATGTTAACCCCGAAATAAGTAAGATCCTAAACTTTTTTTTTAGGGATATAGTTTTGTTTATTTGTTTGTTTCATGGCAGACAATGACATAATGCGAGCGTCATCTGTTGAGGCGAAGGACATGAAATGAGCAGCTACCGACTCATGTCCAATCCTTCTCCCTCACTGTGGTGTCTTGCTGTAGGTTATTTTCTTCCTCACCACTGTGGCATCATCCTTACGCTTGACTTTAATGGAGACTGACAGTAAATCACAATTACCCATACAAGACACTTTAAAAATAGTTTAGGAAATTAGGCTGCCCTAATCTGAAGTTTGAACACAGGGCTTGCGCTGAACAGCATTCTGTGAGAACACGTCATATGAAAGTTGATAGTTAAGAGGATTGGGTTGTAGTCACACCTTTGTCCTTATTTGTCACTATAATTTAGGAAACAATCTGCAGGGGAAGAATGAGTTTTCAAGGCACTTTAGGAAAGAGAAAAACTTTAGCCTTAAATAAAAAAACAAATAAATTAAACACTTCATTAAAGTTAAATAACATTATAATTTTATTGATGCTTCCTTATCCTAATTTAGTCCTAATTTTTCCTTTAAAGAAAAGTTGGACATTTTTAGAAGTACACCTATTTGCTTTCTTGCTGAGAGTTAGATGAGAACGTTGATACCACTTCAATGACTGTGTGTTAATTATGAAGATAGAATCAGCAGATGGGTATCTTAGAAAGCGTGTAAAAACAACAATTTGTCATTTTAATGAGGGAGGTTCTGTGCAAGACTATTTCCTGGCCGGGTGCAGTGACTTCCTAGAGTCTCCACTGGTTGCTTGGCAACCTCACGGCAAAGACAACACTCAAGGTAGAAATGGAAATAACCCCCTGTAAAACCACAAATTGTTGGAATGATTTACACAGAAACAGTGAAATTAAACCATATTATCAGTTGGCCAAGGAAAGTAGTGACAATTTGACATCCATTAAACTTTTTACACCTTGTTTCGGAAGTAAAATAAAAACCTTTAAACAATAAACGTCTAAAATGTACACATTTATACAAGCTATAGAATGATTTTCAGTGCAGTATTGGCAGTCTCTCCCTTGTCCCATCCTTGTCTGGATGCATAACACTGTTTCATTATTATTAAATGCGGCCATGAGACTTGAATGCATATGAATACACCACACAAAGCTGATAACATTAATAGAGTCCAATTAATGTGTGTTCATTAAAGTGCAATTGTTAAGCTCTGTTTTAATTAAGCAAAAAAAAAAATCATCTCCATTCAAGATAGTATGTATGCATAATGGCAAAAGCAAATAGATGAAACCTCTCAGCCATAACCAAACTACTTCCAGTCTATTCCTCTGAGTCGCCTATAGAGTTGCCTGCAGTAAAAGAAGGCTAATTTAGTTCAGACACACACACACACACACACACACACACACACACACACATATGTACACAGAGTATAGCCACAAAGAGAGACAAGGCGAATTGTGTTTACATTTTTATTACAAGTGTCAACTCCAGATGAGGAAAAAGTTGTTAAAGGGGAATAGAACAGCGATTCCATTATGTTTTTCATGTGCCCCAGGACAGTTTATTTTCTATTAGTGAACATGAACTACTGTCCCCAATAGACAGGCACAACTGGGGGAAGGTTCCCGGCCACATATCACCTTCAAACTGATATCAAATAAGCTGCCAGGAATGTGTTATTTGTGACTGCTTTGAATTGCGAGAATCAAATCTAAAGAATTGTTCAGAATCTTTTAAATAATATCATTATTTGCCTCATCTGTTAAGCAAAAAGCATTTTTCTTGTGTACAACATACTCCAGTAAAGTGTGAGGCTATAACTCCTACCTTAATCATCTGATTTTGACTGCTTTCATTTTGAATTTAGGATATTACTTTTATTTTTAAAGCCATGTATTATGACAGGTGCTCAGAGATAATGCTATTTTGACTGGCTTTAAAGGTTATTTTACAGATAAAGAGGTAGCACTGCACAGATTTCTTAAACTTTTGTAAGAAGCTGCAAGAGACACATCTGAAAGTCACCTAATGAATGTCACACCAGCTCCTTTGAAAATGAATCAAAAAAAGGAAGTTGTGAGTGCTGCTGGTATTTTAAGAAATAGAGGCACAAATTTGAGGATGCGTGTTGACTATGTTGACATAAATCCCACTGGAGTGTAAAAGATTCTTCCTTATTTCAAACTTTTATTCCAAAAAGTTAGTTCTTGTTGAGAATTTGAAAAAACGAAATCTCTTATATGACAAAATATGGCCATAAAGGTGGCAGCATATTATGTTACAGACAATAAACAACCACAGTACAATACATACTGTGTGCAGTATACAGGAATAAAAAATTTAAATCTCAATATGTTTGTAAAAAAAAAAGTTAACAGAGAAAAGAGTGCAAGGATGGTAATAATATGGAAGTCACACACCAACTTATTCAGTTTAAGTCCCAGTGGATTTCTTTTGGGGTTTTTTATGCAGCCTCTGTAGCATTGGAGAGAAAATGTACCTCCATGAGTTCCTGATCTATCCAAAGCTTTCTTGTCCGAGTCTACTTAAGAACAGTCAGAGAATCTTTGGACCTTTAACTTCAATAAGCTTTGTATTTCTGTATAATATGAATATATAAATATAAGATAGGGGGGATGGTTCAACAAGCAAGACTTGGGGATGAGACTACTGTTGGACTTTCTGGGTTTGCCTTGCAATAATATGTCAGATCTACTCCTCTGTGTAAAGTTAAATTTCAATCCAAGTTAAATCAGTCACTGAACATCTTCAACAACATACAAATTTCAATCCATTCGCAGAGATTAAAAATATATTTGTTGGTTTCTTCCCAGAGTTGGCATACATCATTAACAAGCATTTGTCTGCCTTAAAAAGACTTCAGTTGACAAAACTGAGCAAAATTAAAAGACTCAAATTATTAAAAACTTAAGGGCTGCAACTCACAGTTATTCTCATTATTGATTCATCTGCCGATAATTTTTCTTAATCAGTCATTTAGTCTAAAGATTGTCAGAGAATAATGAAAAAGCCCATCAGGATTTCCAAAACCTCAAGGTGATGTTTTCAGATGGAATGACACACCCCAACCTAAAGATAGTGAGTTAATAATCACATAAGACAAAGAAACACTGCAAATCACAATTGAGATGCTGGAACCAAAGAATGTTTTTTGGCAATTTTGCTTGGGAAACCAGTGGTTTTTAAAGTATGGGATTGTGGGCCTCCCCTCAGACAAAGTCCCTTAGTTTATACTTGCTTAGCTTCGCTCAGTTCCTGTATGCCTGTGGGATCATGATTATGTTACTTGAATCCACAGATACTCAACAATTGAGCCAAGATAGCCTGATGTTTGATGTAACTTCAGACTTCACTAAAACATAAAAAGGTCCGCCCTGGCATTTATTTATCTCTTTAACCAAATCACACACATTTAGGCTATTCTTGTGACCTCCTTTTGATAACTAATTGTGATATTTGTTCACATCCATTCACTGAGCCTTCCTTGAAACCCCCAACAGGAGACACTTGCCTCCCACTTTGAAAACCTCTGGTTTAAACAGTATGTTGAGTAATTCATCTGGTCTGAATGTTCTGCAATAATACTGAATAATGGTGGTTTAAGGTCACTGTAGCACTGTACCTGAGTTATTTTGTAAACTGTAATGTAGAACCACCATCTATAATACTGTTGTCAGCTGCATCACAAGCTCCTGAAGGGTTTGTAAAAGGAGCTGCAAAATCACACATTGTTCTGATGGAGACAACGCTGTTTACGAAGCCCCCTTTGTCACAAAATGTGTTATGCGATGAGCTTTCAGTGAATCTAAAAAAGCAGTTTCATTCATCAGCAAAGGCATATTAATCTATCCTCTACAAATGGGTGATGTCATTGATTTAGAGGAGGGGCTCTCTAAAATATCCAACACATATCATTGCCATTATTATCATTATATGAATCTTCACAGCGCTGTTAATATTAAATAAAAGTTTGCAAAGCATAAATTACCTTGGACCACATTATAGCTCAGTGTAGAAACTTGTCACTACCAAACAATCACAATGCATAATTGCGTTAAGTAAATGTTCAACAAACTGCTTAGAATCCAGCTGTTTTCTACTAACACAGCATGTGGCATTCATACAAGTCTGATGCCTCAGACAGGATGATTTGCAGTCGCTGTATTTGTGTTATTATAAAGTGTCTTATCATTGCGAAGGTAAAATGTCTGACTGAACTCAAGAGATAAAAGAGAGGCAATCAGGATGAGTACAGAAGGAAATTATTCATATAAAGAGGACAACTGATGAAGTGGTAATAACGGTAAACATTCTGTTCTGTTAGTGGCTACCATTTGCTTCAAGGCACTGAGTCTCCAATGTTTCCCATCATTACTATAAGCGGAGTTCCCTCCACAGGAGCACTCAGTTTAGAGAGACAAACAAAAGCATGATGTAAATACTCTCAACAGTGAAGAAGCTCCTCTTCGATTCTCTCTCCCCTTTCTCGCCATGATTAGCATTTCAAACAGTCCTTGTTTTGCATCAGAGATCCATGCTTGTGTGCATGGCCTCACAGCCTTGCAGGTGGTGGCCTGTCCAACCAGTCGGGGAAAAAAACAGCCTGTGTGTGTTTGTGTGTGTGCTGGCATGATTGTGAGAGTGCCTCTTCATGGTAAGGAGTAGTCCAAAGGGATCTGACCTCTTTACAAAGCTCAAAGTAACTCAACGGGACAGCATTGTCTACAAATGCTACTTAATCATAAATTTCTCAGTATTTGTGGTTTCTGCTTTGATCGGCAGAGAGAGTCACAAGCCACTGACAGGATTCACATTCTGCCTCCTGAAAATCCACAAAATCTCCTTTTAAGTGTCTGCCAGCAGGCCCATCCAAACTTTGATTGAGTGCATCACAATGTGCTCAGCATATCAAGCAATGATAGGGACTTTTGCAGTAGCTTTTTTGAGTTGGAAAAACGTGCGTCATTTTAACTTAAGTCAATTGCTAATAGATTGTCCACTTCATGAAATTAACCCCAACCAAAATCCTGCTCAACCCAAAATAAATTAAAATAATGAGTTCCTGCAGTTTAAAGCTCAGCCAGGAGATATCTAATTAAATCTATATTGTTCTTTGCTCTATCTGACGGGGCGTTCACTGTCCTCAGAGTCCAGTGTTAGTTAAGGTGACTGCTGCAGGCCGGGAGGGGCTCGTGCTGATTAGATGAAGCTTCTGTTTTGCTACCGTGCCACCTGAAAACAAGAACATGTAGAGTTACACAATTATTTTTATATATTTTACAAAAGATGCTGAGGGATAAAATGTTATTGTATTCCGTTCTATTTTCAGTCAAACACTTGCTACACCCAGTAGGCAAAGAGCTAGTCCCTATCTCAAAAGTTTGGAGTCTGGTATCTTTTTTAAGCCTCCATAAAACAAAAATCACAAGAGCAAAAGTGGATTGTGGTGTTTATCTGCTTTAACGTAAAATGTGATTGTTAGCATTCCAGGCTTACTGCCTACTGTAGTAACTGAGCGATATTTCAAAAAGCAAAAAGCATTATTTTGTGGGGTTTAAAGTTACATTACAAAAATATCTGATCAGGACTGGAACATCTGGTGTGTGAACCAAGATGCTATCAGAGTTTAGAGTAATATGCTCTCCGGCCAACGTTTACGTTTGGCATACTTATTGGTTATTCCTCATCCTCATATCCTTTTTTTTTTTTCTTGTAAAAGTGAAGTATACAGAAAATCAGCTAGTGACAGTTGGTTCCCTGCTTTTGTTTTTACCTGTGTGTGTAATGAAAGACAATTTTTTTTTTTAAATAACTAAAAATGTCAAGAGGTAAATTGGCCTTTGTTATCACTGTAATCTGTATATGTACAATGCGGGCGAAAAGGTCAACTATAGTCTATTCCAGTGTTGGAAAGTACATTTCCTTAAGTAGGCTATTGTAGGATACTTAAGTACAATTTTGGGGCACTTAAACTTTACTTAATTTCCATTTCGTATTTCCATTTCACTCTGTCTACTATGGTAAATATTCTTTTCACCCCACTACATTCATTTGATGATGATAATGCAACAAACTACCCTGCAGTATATACATTAATTAAAATGATATCAACCTTTATCAGCTGCGACATTAAAGGGATCTACATTAATGCATCAATAATTACTCTCAAATGGTTCATTCTGCATAATAAGTGCTTTTACTCTGGGTACTTGCTTATATTTTTGTGCATTAAAGTAAAATTCTGAATGCAGGACTTTTACTTACAGTTTTTTCTACACTGTGGTATTTCTACTTTGGTAAAAGATCTGAGTATTTCTTCCACCATTGCTCTCTTTTGTTTCATCCTATTGTTTAATAATAATATAGTATGATGGACCACATGACAACTGGGTATCTTTTGATCACTGGCTGTGTGCTGGCAGTGCTAACTTTTCCCTGTTTCTATAAAATGTTTCCCCCATGAATCATACATATAAAACAGTTCAACAAAAAGGCAATTTCTAAATGCAGTGGGGTTTCCTTTGGCCGTCAGATTTAATTACATGGGTTTTAGTGTTCAGTATTGGTTTACAGCTTATTTCATGTTTGTCCTCTTGGCCCCATCATTCACCAGATTATAGAATTAAGTTTTCTGAGCCCACTGTGCCTGGTTGAGAGCGAGAGGGTTGATATGACCAATGGGAGCTGTGATTATGCTTGATTGTGGTATCCTTCGGCATCAAAGGGGAGCTTACTAAAATAAAGCTTTATGATGAGTATTCACAAGTCTGTCTGCCCCTGTTTTGCATAAGAATAATGCAATAAAAAAGGAGAGTTACCGTATGAGTGCATTTAAGCAACTATAAATACCATGTCTTAAACTCAAGCCATTTTGTGTCATGTCTTTTGTAAAGTGTTGGTGCCGCTGTGACTCAGACTAATGCAGGCCCTCTCCTCACCTTTGTGGTCTTTACTTTGTTCCCAGAGATACATGACCAGCCAGTGAGGTCAGGGAGAACTCTGCACTCCTCCCCCTCAAGACATGGCTCCATTTTACACCACCACTTCTGACGCACAATAGAGGCTGGAGAAAAACACACCACAGCGGAAGGTCACTTTTTAGATGGAAGGACTTCAAAAAAGGCTTGTATGGAATAAAATGTCTCAATCAGATGTCACACTCTCTGGTCCTTGACAGCCTCAGTATCAGTGGGCCCTGGTTAACCTGACACTGCTTTGGCAAATAATATATTCATGTCATGACAGAAATTTCTGGTCAAGAGAGGTAAAAGAGGGTTCCAGTAATATTACCTTCAACACAAGAGGGCAGAGCCCTTGTTGTCCCTGCCACCTGTCCTGGGAAGCAGGAGCACTTGACTGTTTGAGAGCGTTCTTCAATCTTGTTCCTATTGCAGCAACGATGAGCAGCGACCACTTCACAAGTCCCTGTCCTCTCCTGTTTTGACCCTGTGGAAGAGAATTTTGAGGAAAAGGTGACAATTTTTATACTGTTTTGCATGTAAGTAGAGGCAGCTTGAGTGACTTAAGTCTCTCCAGAAGGCAGTATTATAGTCAAACTGCAGCGATTTCTTGGCTTTATTAGATGTTACATTGAAATAAATACAGCAGTCTTTCTGTTACACGCATGTAGGTGACCAAGGAAGCAGGCCTAATTTTTTATGTTTCTAAAGCTACAGCACCACCAAGTGGATAAAAAGCATCATGAACAGAATAAACATTAGAGGAGAATTATCTGCCCCACATCTGTTTCTGCATCATTTGCTACAAACATAAATAAAAGAGATTAAATGTTGTTTTTGGTGGTTATTAAACTACTGATGATTCATGCTGATACACTTAAAGGAACAGTGTGTAGGATTAAGTGGCATCTAGAGGTGTTGTTTCAGCTTACAACCCACTCGCCTAACCCTCCATTCCAAGCTTGTAGGAGAAACTATGGTGGCTGCTAAACTCACAAAAAATACAAAAAGGCCCTATCTAGAGCCAGTGTTTGTTAGAGCCATTGTACAAATATGGCGGTTTAACATGCCGGCATCAGTAGAAGAGGACTCGCTCCCTCTGTAGATAAAAACTCATTCTAAGATAACAAAAATATAACAATCCTTACTTTCAGGTGATTATAAACTAATAAAAACATACCTGTGAATATTATTTTCCATTTCTGGCGATAGAGCCTCCTAAATGTTACACGTTGGACCTTTAAAGTGGAGTTTAAAATCAGACTAGAATCAAAGCAGAGCTCAAAAAATGAAACGTGACAAATCTAGTTTTCTAGTTATCAGGTTGCGGAACTGGTGAAAAGTAACTAAGTACATTTCTCAAGTGCAAACTCACTCATAGGTACAAACTACTTTACTTTACTACTACATTGGGAAAAGTATATAAAGTAGTTCAAATGCTGCTAATGCATTATGTTTTATATAACAATACATAATAATTCAGTCACAAGGGACATTTTTCTGCAGAACCAGTACTAGTTACATTTGATACTTTAAGTCAATGTCTCTGATGATTTTAAGTAAACTTGTAATGGAGTACTTTTGCATTGTTTTATTGGTACTTTTATTTACGTACTCCACCACTGCAACATGTAACACTGTGCTGGATATAATTACCTTCAGCTAATTAAGTGGCAACAGTCAAAGTGCATTGCCAATAAAATCCTTTTTACAGTATGTTAAGGGATTTCTAAGGGGAAGCACCCGGGGTTTCAGGTTCTTGTTGCTTTAACTGAACTCTCAACCAGGCGACCAGGCTGGTGACCAGGAGCTATAATGAGTCCCTGAGGGGGTGTGACTGGTCTGGTTGGGTCTGACACATACCTGTCTGTCCTCGGGAGCTTTGGTTGCCAGCGGACACTAGCTGGCTGCAGAAGCCTACTATACAAAGAAGCAGGAGGCTCCAGTGTAATATGCTCAGCTTCATCTTGCCTGCACAGAAAAATAGGTTCATTAGAATTATGCCAATAGTTTTCCCTATTAAGTGCGTGATCATAATGCAAAATAATATGGCTTATTAATGCTTTGGATGTCTCCTGACTACTGATATGTGGTTCATAAGATCATTGTATCTATTTGCTCAATTATGACTCTCACATCACCAAGCCAAGCCAAAGCAAATGAAAGAAATGCCAATTAAAGTGCAATAAAAGGCAACTTTGGAAGCAGATGAGAGTGGGTCCTTACACTCATTTCTGACTCACATTATCCCCTCAGCTGTAAACATCTCTGCATTCAAAGCTAAACTCTCCCTCCAAAACAAGTTGCATTCCACATGAGTCACAGAAAAACTGGGACGTGGACTTTCATGTCAGTCTACAGCAATAACTAATTCAGGACAAGAAGTAAAACATCACTGCTTAGTTTGCTGAAGGCGTTTTCATTCAACACTTAACCCCATATAACTTCCAGGCCTTTAATTAGTCAGATTATTTCCTCGATCTATGCTTATTCAATACGATAAATGTCCTGCACAATTTCCCAGAGCCCAATCTTCAAATTGCTTTGTTCTGAGTCCAGAACTTAAAGATATTAAACTTGCGATAATGTCAAATAGAGAAAAAGCAGACATTCCTAACATTTAAGAGGCTGTTGCAATGCATTATTTAAAGTCAAATAAAGTTTAACACATATTTCTCATTTATATTCAGTGATAGTGGCATCATTCCTTATTAATCAATAGCTAATTATCCATCCACATGACTTTTTTTTGGTCATTTGTGCAAAAACACCATGCCAGTACTACAAACTATCACTGTATTACATACACACATATGCATACTGTGTTGTACAATATCATCAATTAAAGTCAGTCTGCCTGCCTTATTACACTTTTACATTTAATTACAGAATCAACAAGATAATGCACCAAAATAAAAGACATATGGAAGTTAGTTCAACAGTAAGTTAAACCACCACTGAAAACCGACGTTTGATAGTGATTGAAATGGATATTTAAAATATTCAACCACCTACCTGTGTTCAGGTTATTGATATACACGATAAGCCGCTGCTGACGCCTCCATCACTGTTTGGCTGCACATCATGCATACCATATAACGATCGTCTCAGCGAGGATGCAAAAGTTTGCATCAGCTATGATCCTCAAGTTTCTCAAGTTTTTCTGCCTCAATTCAGCGAGAAAAAAAATGCTGTTAAATAACGCCCCAGCTGATAGAGATAACAGCCAACAGCTCAATGAAAACCTGCGCTTTCACACATCAGCTCCACTCCCTGGAGTTAGTGTAGCCTACCTCTCAGGCAGGATGTGATGTGAGAGATGTGTTGGTCTGTGAACTCGGTGGGATCACTCCGATGAGCAAAGCCTGTCAGCTTTTCCTGTCGGGAAAATTAAAACTTAATCAAGACAGAAACCATCTGTCTGCCGGACAATATGCGGCCACTTTCATTAGCGCCATAAGAAGCTTAAAGTGAGTATTGACATCCTGTCGCACAGGGCACAGAGGATATAAACTGCATCTGAAGGCCAAGTGGTTTGTTCTCTTTTTTAACGATATGTGTTATTTTTGTGTTTTCTTTGAGCCCATATTTGAAAACAGACATTTTATTTATGCAGTCAAGCGGCAAGGGTGAGATTTCACACCCCTTAAGGTTTTCCTCATAGGGTCCCAAAATGAAAAGATTTGCAATCTACTCATTAATCATATCACACCACTCAAATTAACATTTTAAAAAAATTAATTAGTTCTCACCACAAAAGTAACACAATTGCACAAAAAAATGAAATATTTTTAACTGCTTCGTGATTCATCTAGAAATAGATATAAAGGGCTGGGCTGTCTGTAGCCTCATATTAAACTGCAGATTTGCATTGATCCTTTCATATAACTCTAATAGGAAAGCAAAGTGAATATGCATATTCCCAAAAACACTGAAATTATTCTTTTAAGTCATATACTGTCATATAAAACCATTACTTCAATAAATCACCCACCCATTTGTTATTTTAATCTCAATAACAGATTTCCTCTCAAGTTTCCTATTTTGGTGTGTTGTGGGTGTCCAGTTCCTTTTAATACACTTAAAGTTCTTGAAAAATAAACAGTGAAGTCGCCAGTTTTAAGTGAAGAAAGATAACAGAGGCTACCTCTACAACCATGATAATAAAACTTTATTAGAGCACAGTGCACATCATTATTCTCATTTGATTGACAGAGAAATAGCTACAATATAAGTAAACACAGGACAAATACACAAAGAAGTAAACAACGTTACTAATAGAAAAAACAATGTTGTTAAATGACTTCATATTCATATGATAACCAATCATGTTGCACAAGGGAGACTCATCTTATTTACATTATCATATCGATGTGTGCTACTGCAACATCACAGTAACCTTGTGATGCTAGTTTGCATTCAGATGCAGTCAATCTGAATCTGTGCCGCGCGTCGTAATGTTCAGGCGGTGAAATTGAGCTTGAAGAGAACCGTCTGGGGGGTGGTGACGTCGGCCACAGCCAGTTCCTGTCCATCCGACAAGCCCAGCTCTGCAGCAGAAGAAAAAAAAAAAAACATGTTCCAAGTATCTTATCACGAATATCAGCAGCTATGAGTCACTTTGGACTGACTGGGAATGGTCAGAGTACCAGTTCTTATTACCTTTCAAAGTCTTGCAGAGGTTTGGCCTGGTTCGTTCCTCGATGGATTTAACCGACTGGAATAAAATTGCAATAATAGTTTAAAGGGTGATTTATAATGAAATGCGGGTTCTCAAAGAATAAATACTGTACCTGCAAATACAGCGTCTTATTCTTCCCTTCCAGAGTTGTGGTGATGGCCGGGGATTTCATTTGTCTGGAAAACATTTTGTGCACAATTTTAACAAAATCATTTAAAGTTTTCCTAAAGAGGCCAATTATTTTTCTTCTGAATACTCACAGAGAAGCGTTCTCTGTTAGGTACTCTAACACCTCCTGTAATTTGGCAGAAGGAGGGAACTGGAGATCCTGAGGAACTTGGCTGCAGGCTGAACAATTTTCCTGCCAATCAAAGATGATAAAGAGTGAGCTGGTTATTCTCTGTGCGGCAAAATGTACATGAGGGTGAAGCGATTACTGACAATTTGGGGCCAACAAACCTTTCGTTCAGCTTCAAAAGTGTAGGTGTACAGTCCATCCACGTCATTAAAGACCAGGTAATTATTTAATGGAATATATGCACTGAAAAATATAATCTGAAGTTTAGTAATGTTCATTTGACAAACTAGCAGATAATTGGGGTGAGACATTAAGATTTGTTCTGCTCCTAACCTTGTCGCAATTTTAAAAACTTCTGTGGCACAGGCAGCTACGGAGAACAAAAACAAAATTAAGTCCAGCAATGTGAATTGTACAATTGTTTTCAGAACAATAAATCATAACTGACTGTTCGCTAAACGCTTCCTTCAAACAGCAATTTTTTCTCCCCTTAAAGGTTCCATAGATCATCAGCATGTGAGGATCCATCATTTTTCCCTGGGACATTTAATGGTCTTGGTTTGAAACAAGAACCCTGCTTTTGTTTACATCTGTAAGACCGACAGTTTAAAGTACTTTCAAGTGGTAAATCTGCCCTTTATCACTGTAAACTGGATCTGTGCCTTGTAAGTTAGCTCTACAGGCTACAAAGAGATTACAAAAATGTCTGTCAACATCCCTGAATACCAACAACTACTGCCTCAAAAACATTTCATACCAGCAATAACAGCATTAGTTGATGCCACAGCAGGAATGATCCTCTTCACAACTCCTGTGGCACAAAAACAGTCGAGTTAAATTCTAGCACACTGTTAGACACTTGTGAATGAGACAGTTGTCGATTGTGGTGAGAAATGTAACATTTCCCCAAAAATAAATATTGTCTGATGTACCACATTAGCATTAAATAAATTATTGTCTTTTAATTCACAAGTTCACCTTGAGTGAGTCTGTATGTCACTCCTGTAATGCTAAACTCCGCAGCTCTTTCTTGGGATCTTTCGAACACCCACTGGATGTGCTCTGGGTTGTCTCCATCTAAGCTGGTCTCTAGTTGAGAAGAAGACCCTGATTGTTAGCCTTTATTGTAGAGATGTACAGGCAGAAGGTTACATAATGTGATGAGATTGAAATAAAAAAAGATGTATTTTAGCTTACCTCCAAATGGCTTTTCTTTGGGCCACTGTAAGATTCTGGCATATTCAATGCAATGTTCTGGTAGCCTAGGCATTGACGCAATGGTGCACATGGGGAAATTAATCTGTGGATAGTAAAATTAAAGTCAAGAATAAATCATTTAAATTCTGCACAGTGAAGTCAGCCAAAGTCTACCCCTGCTATAATACAAAAACTATAAACTTGAAGCTGCTCATTAAGAAATTAATTTTATACTCTAATTTCTATGTTTTGGCTGGATCTTTGGTGCAAAATGGTCCCTACTGTGCTGGTTTTGCACTTCATCTGTCTGTATGTGACACGTTTTTCTCTAATTTTCTGGCACTATGTCTGGTCGGGTTGTTATCACTGCTTGTGTTTATGACCCAAGTCTTTTTTCGCCACAAACAAACAGCTGCTGCTGCAGATGGAAATGGGAAACATCACCTCCTGTGCACCACAGACGCTTTCTCCCACCCAAAAGGCAAGATGAACAGCTGATGTGAAAGCTTTCATAAAAACTTAATTGGCTGGTTAACTATTCTGTCATATCATTTATCCATTAATAACAGAAACAAATGGCAATTAATGTATTTATATGAATTTAAAGTAGAAGATAAATTGCTGTTAAAAAGTGACCTGTGGTGGGTACAGCTCCAGTGTGCAGTCGATGCATGCAGTCATGCCGGGCAAAATGACTCGAGCGTTTCCTTTGAAGCCCTCTGTTCCTCCATCAATGAGGGGGATGATGGAGCTGGGATCCAGGACTCCATCTTCATAGCTCAGGAGGGATATCTAGAAAAGTCAACATCAATCATAACTCACCACAGACTACACTTATGCAAGTCTGATCAAAAAGTATATTAAAACTGAGATACAATAAACTAAATCAAACATCTCTTTCCTACCAGCATCCCGTTCATCCAGCGTCTGGCAATGATAGAGTCCAGTCCACAGACGATGATGTGGAACTCTGCAAAGAGAGGAGTGTTTTAAACCTCTGAGGCGCTTGCTTAGTGAGCTCTGCTAATGCATAGACCATGTAAGAAAAACGCTTACGCCTGTAGAAAGAGTCATCAAAGTCTTGGATCTTTTTAAAGTGACTGCATGTTATGAATAAGGAACACAAATCGGGGGACAAAATATTTTATACAATTGAAACAAAACCTGATACTATAAGAAAAAAACTAAAAACTAAATGTTTTTTTAATTGTTGCGGCAAAGGATACGGGACAACTTTACATCCAGGGATACGACTGTTGATAAAGTCAGCAGCCACGTCTGCCTTTGGTCGTCCAACATCTTTGGGTCTAAATTGATGCATATAAGAGTTAATTGTAGGACATATGAGATGCTGAATGTAATCTGATTTTATGACACTGGAATGGTTACGATATTACAGCGACCTAGAGGAAAATTCAGGGCCATCAGACTATTACATCATTACATAGTCATATACATCATACACATTTTGATCTTTGCTAAGCATTAGGTAATGAATTAAAGGAAATAGGGATGGGGCCGATCCGATCCTGTATCGGTATCGGGACCGATACCAGCGTAATTCACATATCGGAATTTCCCGATCCAACCTGCGCAGATTTTCTGCCGGCCAGTCTGCTAGCTGACTGCAAACTGTGGAATGGATTTCCTGAACGGAGGCGCAGCTCAATGAGACACAGAGTTAAGAGACAAGCCTCCGCACAGGAAATCCATTCCGCAGTTTGCAGCCAGCTAGCAGGATAGCATTGAGCAGCATTGTGGCTAGCCAACATGTCCGTTGTGTGAAAATACTTTATACTAGAAACACCGCAGAGCAAGACAGCAAAATGCAATGTTTGCAAAGCCGTAATTCAGAGCTCCCTCACGTCGTAGAACACTACGAACGCAATCAAACACTTAAAAAAAGCACCACACGAAAGACCACGAGGATGTTTTAGGCGAGCTGTCAGGAATCACTTCTGGAGTCATTCCAAAAACAAGGTAAACTCCAGGCAAGGGATTACCGAGTGTGTGTGTGCGCGTGCGTGAGTGCGTGCGAGCGTGTTAGATGTTTACAGTTATTGCACTTTTCTTATATTTCAGATAATTGACATTTTCAAAACCTTGATTTGTTGATGCTACAAGAGCCAGTGTACT